AAAAGGACTTGACCTCAGCTTATCAATCTTGGAAGCTAAAAGACTTTTACGATTGTACTAATTGTTAAGAATATTTTTGCGAATCAAGTTTGGTAAGAAGCGTAAGATTCTTTTGATGTGGGCATCTGAAATGATTATGTCAAAGAAACTTAAGTGATCCTGTTTTGTAGGTGGTGGTTTCATTATGTAATTAAGTTAACATGAATGAATTTGATGTTGAGTAGCTGATAGAAGTTGGTAATATAGATGATACTTCTTGGTTCCTTTTGATTTGATACTGAATTTCACATACGATTTAGAAAATGAGTTTGAATGTATCTGTAACTTATTATTTGAGAGTAAGTCGTAGGATGTTCACGTATAAAGATAAAATCATATTTTTGCCGGCGAAATCATGATTTCGAGATAGCTAAATCATGATTTCGAGCTACCAAAATCATGATTTCAAGCTAGAAGATCCAAATTGAAATGGTTCATTATGGTGTAAATGGCCTGACAGCTAATGCAAATTTTCTGGGGATTTCACTTCTATAGATGGAGAAGGCTGGGTGCGGGGAGAAGGGCAAAGACTTAGATTAAAAAGTGCAGTTGTTGTGCTAATCATCTATTAATTTAACTTGTAATATTTATTATTGGACAGCATGCCAAGATTATCTAGAAGGTTGTCCAGAAAATATTGAATTTTGATAGACTTTGAAGAAACTGAAATCTCTCTCTCTCTCTCTCTCCACTTCCTCTCAAATATGGATTTCCTCTTTGGTTGCCTGTTCATCTTATTTAATTTGCACAACTATTTTGCCTTTAGTGAGAGCTTTAAAAGTTAAAGGGATAAAGATTTCCACTCTCAGCCGATCCCAATGTTATAAACAAGGTAGCGGTGCTCTTGGTGTTCGCATGAACCTTTTTGATCGATTTGCTAGAGTTGTTAAGGTGAGATTTCAGGGAAATTTCCATCTACTTCCATGTGATAGGATCACATGATTTAACTTTCTCCTAATTTCAGTCATATGCAAATGCACTTGTGAGTTCCTTCGAGGATCCAGAGAAAATATTAGAGCAAACAGTGCTTGAAATGAATGATGACTTGACAAAGATGCGTCAGGCCACAGCACAAGTAAGCC